GTGATATCTGTATATTCTCAACTCTCAAATCAACTCTATTAACACTTACAAACGCACATTTCTTCTTACGTCAAGATTTAAACTTGAAAAACAGCATTCCAGCCTCTGCGTAGGCTACACAATGAAACTTGGCACAACAAGCTTTCAGAAATAGTGTCATATGATGGCAAAACTATTTTATTTCTTTTTTTCGAGGCTGTGTGACAGATACTGGGTTTCAACAAGAATTTAAGTATCATCCTGCGATAAGCTGGTCTTGCAGGGTCCAAGGGTTCAAGGGAATCTTTATTATTCCCGAAGGACAATTTGTTATACAGCCAGCAGTATATCCATAACCAACAGACAATAACCAATGAGATAATAACTAAGATTGGCTCTGATAGCCTTTAACAACCCTCAACACACTCAGTGTTTATGTGCAGTTTGGAAACAATAGCACTGTTGTCATGTGCACCAATATGCTGCATGGACACCAGACACCAAACGAAAACACTCACTGCCACCACTGTACCTGCGTCTTGTTCACACGTCTCTGTAAAATGTAATCTGTACTTTTCACTATTCTTACAGTCAGTAAAATTACTGAAATACATTTCTCCATATATATGTTACATATACAAACATACATATATAGTTCTTCTCCATAATGAGGAACAGTATGCAGTAATCATTAATCATTAATGAAATAGTTAACCAGTTGTTAAATAAATACAAATCATTTTTGAATGAGTTATAAGTAAAGGTGATTACATTTTTTTTTTTTTTTGTATCTTTGTATAATTGGAGGTCAATTATTTTGGTGTTTGGTATAAAATAGTGTTCTAAAAACGTATTCATTGTTTTACAGCCATTTCATGCCTTATAATAAACAATTAAGATTGTGCCGATCTTAATTACAGCAGTTATTGCAGACGTGCTCATAATGATAATTCTAACATGCTGATACCAAGTATAATGTTTACTATGTTCACCACTTTAGTTATAAAAGTTAGATAGTTAGAAGCTTGTTAGCATGCTCACATTTTTTAATTAGCACTAAACATAAATTACAGTACAGCACAGTACAGTACAAAAATCAACGTTTAAAAAAACAAAAGTGTATTTCTGGTGATAAACCAAACTATTGGACAAATTACATTTTTGATGTGATTAGTCAGAAAATCTCAAAGTGGTTACACTTCATCTTGACGGGAACATGAATCCATTTAATAACACACTAAGAAATTATAGCTTAATATCTACAACAATTGACAATTCATTAATTATTAAAAGCACTTCTGAAAAGGGGGATTTTTTTACCAGTGATTTGAAGTTGGAATCAATTAAATCAATTCATCTGATAAAGAACACATTTACATTTATGTTATTAGAAAATGTTAAATGTCCTTGTGTAAATATTTTTAAAAATATATAATAAGTATAATGTTTACTATGTTCACCACTTTAGTTATACAGTTGTTACCCACAGTTAATGTATTTATTTGAAAAATACAGATTTTTAATAAAACTAAATAGTTGTTACTAACATTCTCACAACTATTTAGTATTTCATATTAAAAAGAACACATTTACATTTATGTTATTAGAAAATGTTCAATGTCCTTGTGTAAATATTTAAAAATATTATATTATATATTATATAATTAATATATTATATTAAAAAATTATAAAAGATTTTTTTTTTAAATCTAATCAATTCAACATTTTCTCATTTGTTATGGGATCTGATAAAGATGGAAAGGGCTGCTTTTCCCCAAAGACGTCTGAAGTTCCACAAACTTCTGAACTATTGCAGTGTTTAGATCTGCTGTTATTTCTTTTGTAACAAGTGACATAAAACTGTTTCTAACCATTTCTGTCCAGTTCTTTATAAAAATGTTTTTTATTTTATCCTGCACCACTGGAGGAAATTCCAATGAAGAAATTAATTTCTCTCCATTGAGCAAATGTTCTTTTAAAGTATGTGAACTTCCCAGTTTCACAAGATCACCAAGAGCTTTAATAGCAGAATTTAGTTTGTTTCTATCTATATAGGTGGTATAATCAGGCAATGTTTTATAGATACCATCAGCTATAACTTTATTTCTGAAACTCTTGCAGTCTAATTCAAAGCGGGTTTTCTTGAATTCTTTAAAATATCCGAAAAATGTACTGCTCCGAGATGAGATGTTGGAATATGTGAGAGACTTGAAGGAACTTTGTGTAAATGGCCCCCAACACTTTGTGAATTCAA